GGCGGAGTCAGGTTAAAAAACTAAGACGGTTTATTTAAATAACTGGATGCAAACTATCGGTACTTCGACATAACAGGAGGCAGATTTATTGTCTCACTCAAAATGTTTATCATTATACTGAGAGGCTTAAAAGTTTAATCAAATCCAGTCACAACATCTTCAAAAAACTCATCTCGCAACTTTAAAACAAACATCTTATCACAGGCATGGATGAAGAGATGCCAAGTTTGGAGATAGAAACAACCATAGCTCATAAAAACTAATTTTATGTGATCCTAGTTATCCCTGTTACAAAAATCCACAACAAAAAGGAAAATAATTGGGCAGAAACTGCACACATGCTGGATGCTGGTGGGGATATTTTTATTAAATTAAGCGTTAATTTCTGCATGTTTTGCTCCTATGAATTTAATAATAAAATAGCGCATGCTCCCCTTGAGCTCTGAGGAAGTCGGAGCTGAGAAAGACTGGAGGAACAGCACAGCCTTTGCTTTGAACAGGCGGTCTGGAGCACAGCGGCGCGGAGCGGAGCATGTGGGATTTCGGGGTCAGAAGCCTTCTGATGAAAGTGAAACGTTGTTAAATAAAACAAAGAAAATACGTCCTGTTTTGGTCAAAGCTGCTCTGGTCTGATGCTGCCTATCAGGTCGTCCATCTATTGCAGAATATCCTCTCCTGCTTGGTTTCTCACCCTGTGGTCCTCTCTCACCTGCATGTTGGTTCTCTTTCTCCCATCAGCGAAGACGTCTGTAAACGAGGATTCACCGTCATCATCGACATGCGTGGATCAAAGTGGGAGCTGATCAAGCCTCTGCTAAAGACTCTGCAGGAGTATTTCCCAGCAGAAATCTGTGTGGCTCTCATCATAAAACCAGACAACTTCTGGCAGAAGCAGAAGACCAACTTCGGCAGTGCAAAGTTCTCCTTTGAGGTTAGATGGATTAGCTGTTAGTATACGCGTTGGTATTTTTTATATTTATATATTTATCTTTTATAACTTATCCTAACTGTCCAAGTCAAATGTGGGAAACTGTTTTAATTTGTGTATAGCACAGAGACCGAAGTAAACAGAGTCTGCACAGATCTGCCCAACCTACCTCTCTATACACAGTCAGTGTGACATGGAAAAATAATCGTATCAGGGATTAGAAAGTCGTACACAAACCATTCAGTTCAGGTCTTTACACCCTAACTGTTTGCATAGAGTATGCATCCCTTCACATCCAAACCAGATCATTCCCCCTCAGTGAGGTAGAGTTTAAGGTCATCCTTTAGCTCCAGTATGTGGAATGTAGTGATGTTTTGTCCCTGATGTTTGTCCTCCTGTCTGTACGAGCAGACCAGCATGGTGTCAGTGGAAGGTTTGGCCAAACTGGTGGACCCTTCACAGCTAACTGAAGACTTTGAAGGCTCTCTGGACTACAACCACGAGGAGTGGATGGAGCTGAGGGTGTCGTTAGAAGAGTTCATGTCCAATGCTGTTCACCTGCTGTCTAGACTGGAGGACCTACAAGTACGCTGCTAACAATTCAGACAGATAAAATAATTAAAAGCAGCTTATTTTTCAAAATGACAAAAGTCTTTTTTGTCTGACAGGAGCTTTTGTCCAAAAAGGACTTTCCTGCGGATGTAGAAGGATCCCGGCGGTTAATAGAGGAGCACACACAGCTGAAGAAAAAGGTGACAGAGCTGTACCTCCTAAGATAAAGTAATATTCTACATGTTTACTAAAGTTCTCCTGAACACCCGTACAGGTACTAAAGGCTCCAGTGGAGGAGTTGGACCGCGAGGGCCAGCGGTTGCTTCAGTGCATTCGATCCAGTGATGGATTTTCTGGAAGGAACTGCATCTCAGGTTCTGCTGACTTTCAGAGCCTGGTGCCAAAGGTAGGACTCCTCCTCCAGCAAAAATCCCTGAGCTGGGTGTAAATCCCCTACAGGCAGATGTACTGCACCTTCTGCTCATGAAGCTATGGGAAAACAAAATAAATAAATATTTAAATGTCCCGGGAAACAGATGATGTCATGTAACAAATCTTTTTCTGAAGCAAGTGAGAGTCCTGTCACACCTTGCCGATTTAGCCAGCGTATGCTTGCATTCCCAGAATCTTCTAAAACGCTGGAATATTCTGAACTTTCTATGTATTTTATTTATTTTGGGCGTATACTTAGAGTATTCATATCAAGTCCAGAACTTATGACCAACAGCCTAACTTATGCATAACCCACGGCAGCATAATGTCAAAAGCCATTGTCCTGAGGGGGGAGCAATGTGCCCGGCCTGCATAAAAAGATGTATTTGATCGCGGTATCAACCTAGCTGCTGTTTACCGCTCAACAACAAAAAAAAAAGATAAATAAAAAAAAAAGACAGTTTCCTCCTGTAAACCCCTGTATAACGGCGTATTGGCAGCGTTTTATACCAAAACGCTGCCAATACGCCATTATAGGGTAGCTCTAAGTTAGAAACGCGTTTAGCGGTCGTCTGGAACACGTTCTTGATAAGTTACGCATAAGTTACTCATAGGTTTTTGGATAAGCTAGACGCCACGACTAATTAGTAACTTACACATATGTCAATGATAAGATAGCTTACCCGTATCTTATGCCCCAAGTATAAGCATACGCTGGCATACCTCAGGAAATTTTGAGCATACATACTTGCCATGCTTATAACTTATCCAATGTATGCCAGTGTTTTTGCCAGATTTTCCGTACATCAGGCAAACGCTGTAGGAAGAATATACAATGAAATGCCAAGGATAAAAGAATAAATCTAATATAACATTTGAATGCTAATGACTAATTGAAATGTAGCAAAATGCAAAGAAAGGTGGACGTAATGGAATGGGTTAAAACTCTTAATGGTACATTAACATATTAGCAGCGTGCAGCGGAACCATCCGGCATCATCTTTGGGGAAAAAGATGTTTTAATGTGTCATCAGCGAGCTGGCGCTCTACCAGCAGATATATTCCTGTGGAAAGGGATTTCATTTAACGATCAGTTATCTGTCTGCAGCCATGGACAGTGAAGCCCCTCAGTATGGACGCCATGATGTCGTCAATGTACTGTGACGCTCCGCTGTTTAGTACATTTTATTCATTTAAAGAAAACATAAATCCATGGAAAACTGAAAATGAAGCTGATTGGGAATTTTTTTTATGTGTTTAAAAACAGTTCTACAATCTGATGATGTTTATAGCTATACTTTACACACTATCTAATAGCGGTTAAAGCTACCATAGTTACCCTCACTGTTTATCTATGACACCTTAAAATCTTTCCCCTCCTGAACGTGTACTGAATAGAAATACTGTATGTAGAAGCTATTACTACCTGTATGATGTCAGAGTCTGACTTTCAGATATCTTCTGGATTCAGTGAATGATTTATTCAGTATTTTTATAGAGCTGAATAATTAAAACAATCAAAGAGGGAATTTTTTCTTTGTTTTGGGCTCTTATATCATCTCACCTTCAGGGTTTATGTTAAAAAGCCTGATGGATTACACCAGCAATCAGCTATTCAGCAACTTCATCTACTCTAATATCCTATATCCTCCATAATTAAATCAACATCAAGTCAATTCAGTAAGAGAATAGTAATAAAAAGAATTAAGAGTTGTCGTTGGCTGATTATTTACAATCAAAGTTAATTATCCTGTAAAATAATTAGCTTTTAATTTATAGACTGCATCAAAGTCTATTCCAGATGCTTAAAGAAATCAAACAAGAAGAGAAATGTGTTGCAGCAGAATATATTTATCAGCCTTATTGGTAAAACTGTCCACAGAATAACAATGATAGAAACTCTCACCGGTTTGTGACAGAAGCGCCATCAGACGTGATGAACCTGAACATGCACCCATTGATGCTCTGTGTGACGAGGTTTAATGTTTTTGCTCTGTTGGTCTGATCGTTGCAGACAGTTAAGGTCATCTCTGGTTTGGAAATTTAACTTTTTTTTTTTTTTTTTATCTTTTTTCCTTTTTTTTGCGGGGCAGTACTGTTCTCAACCTGTAGAGTCCTTCCCATTATGTTGATTATATAAGATAATGTTGTAGTTCAGTGTTAAAAGCAGTTCTAATTATGGTTAAATTAATCACACACTAATGTTTTCCATGTTTAGAAACAGTTTAAGAAAGCCAATGTGAAACATTTCCATTTATTTGGCTTCTTATTTATTAGCAGTTTGCAACTATACTGGCTGCTGCTATGAATCCTCAACTCCCAAATGGTATACACCTGCAGAACCTCTTAAGCTTCCACTGAGGGTTCTTTACTAGAACCATTTTCTGATTCTTGCTGCTGGTGCCTCCTGAAACTTCAAATACCAAAAAAAAAGTTTGAATAAAATAGATGTGTTCACTGTTTATCTGTTTTCTTCATAATAGATTTAGAGGGGTGAATCAATTGAAGACAAACTGCTCTCTAATGGGCGCGCTTTGATGGCACATGGGTTAGCGTGCACAACCCAAGTGAGGAGGCATTAGTCCTCAACGC